CCCGCCCCGCCCCCGCCGTATTCCTCCGAACTGCGGGACACGAGCTGGCCCAGCCACCTCCGCTCCTTTCTGGGCCCCAAACCCCGTCTCACACTGTCTCTCAGTCCCTGAAAGCTGAATCCCAGGCCAGCACCTCACCCAACTTCTGCAGGGATCACGTGCACACCCATTGCTCTCCTATCCCTTGTGATTTCCTGGATTCTCCATAGCATTACCACCCTTTGTCCCCAGTGATCTCTGCTTATCCCCAAATCCCCCATGACCTCCAATCTCCACCCCAAAGCTAACCCACCTCCTTTCGGGCTGTGCAGGTGCTGGGTCCCTATGCTGTGGGAATCACAGATGGTGACAAGTGACAGCTTTGCCAAGAACAGGGAAGTCTCCTCCGCTAGTTTTACACCATCCGTTCTCAAAGTGTGGAATTTGGATCAGAAGTTTTTGTATCACCATGAAACTTGTCAGAAATGCAAATTACCCACCTGCCTGTTATCCCAGCACCTGGGATACTGAGGCAGGAGGATAGTGAAAGCTCAAGGCCAGCCTGGGCTACACAGTGAGTTCAAGTCCAGCCCAAACTATATAGCATGACCCTGTTCAAAAAAAAAAAAAAAAATCCCTGCCCTAATCAAGACCTATAAAATCTGAAATTCCAGGAGTTTCAAGTAGAGACACACCCACTCCCCAGTAATCCTGATGCATGTTAATATTTGAAAACTGTTGCTTTGGGACATATATACAAAACTAAACCAAAGAACACACCTGAACTACTAAAATCCTGAGAAAGGAAAATGCCCTCAAGCTTAATCCAGTGGAGGGATAGGCTAAACTCCTGGAGTAACCAAGAACCCCACTGTTTACCCATGGAGTTCATCTGCCCACTTACAAGACCCCTGGGCCTCAGCCTTGCCCAGGGAACTTCTGAGGGAGCCACTTTCTTCCCCCTGAAAATGTCCTTGAACTGCTACTGTGATGCCTGTGAGCAGAAAAGAAAGGAGGCCCTGGGGCTTCCAGCAGCCTTGGTCCCTGAGCTTGAGCTAAGGAGCCCTACACTGCCAAGAAGGAAGAAGGGGCTGCCGCATGCCTGCTGGCCTGGGCCTTGACCTCCTGACCTTCCCATCCATCTTTCAAACTTGACCCCACCTGCTCTGCTTCAAACCACAGCCCATAAAGGCCCAGCACTCAATCTATCACGGCCAGCAGCTTTCACTCCCAGAAAGTCTGGAGGAGTTTTGTCAACAGCAAAGAAAATGAGTTTTCATGATTTTTTTTTAAAAAAGGCATCTTTTCCAGGTGGGGTTCCCAGGCTTCATTCTCTCATCCTCAAAAATTTTGCCCAACCCACATTCTGTCTGTACAACTGTCACCTCATTTTTCACCTAAATTTTTCAAAAATACCTTTTTATTTTGAGATATTTTTAGACTCATGTGCAGTTGTAAGATACAATACAGAGACGTTGTGGATACTCTTTAACAAGGACCCCCAGTGGTAACATCTTGTGAAACTATCATACAACATCCCCACCCAGATGTTGACATTGGTACGGACAAAATAGGAATTTCCACTAAATTGTGGTGGTGTATACCTATACTTGGGAAGCTGAAGCAGGAGAATTGTTAGTTCGAGGCCAGTCTGGGCAATTTAGCAAAAGCCTGAGTCAAAAAATAAAAAGGATGTAACTCAATGATAGAACACTTGCCTCGCATGCATGGGGTTCAATGCTCAGTACTGCCCCAAAAAACACCCCAAAACAACAACAGCAACAACAAAAATGGTGGGCGGACATTTCCATCACTACAAAAAAAAAAAAAACCTTCATTTTGCCCTTTCCTAGCTAGGCCCACTTCCCTGCCCCTCCCACCACTGTAACCCTGGCAACCACTAATCTGTTCCGCATTTCTGTTCTTTCTAGTTATTTCAAGAGTGCTCTACAATTGGAACTATAAATATGTAATCTTTGGGAATGGGTTTATTTTTCATTCAGTCAGTCTTCGGTGATTCATCCCCATTGTTGCATGGATTAACTGTCTGCTCCTTTTATTGCTGCATAGTATTCCGAGGTGGTATGGATGCACCAGTTTGTGTATTGTGCACCCAATCAGGGACATCTGGGTTATTCTGTTTTTGGCTGCTGTGAAGAAAGCTGCCATGAACATTGTGTGAACATATGTCTTCATTTCTCTGGGATAAATGCCTCCAAGTACAGTTGCTGGTTGCATAGTAGTTGCATGTTCTATTTTTCTTTTCTTTTTTTAATGAAATGTCAAATGCTTTTCTAGAGTGGCAGTAGCATCTTACATTTCTACCACTGATGTAGGAATGGTCCACTTTCTGCACATCCTCTCCAGCATTTGGTGTTGACACTACTTTTCTTATCATAAGCCATTCCGATAAGTGTGTAGTGATATCTTGCCGTACTTTAACTTTGTATCAAACGGCTCAGACACAGGACTTCATTTCATCATCTTCTTTCCATCCCTCAGAAGCTCCCTGGGCAAGGCTGAGGCCCAGGGGCCTGGTAGGTGGGTAGATGAACTCCATGGGTAAACACTGGGGTTCTTGGTAATTTTCTATATATCTTCTTTAATGAAATATTTCCTCATTTTTTTGTCCATGTTCTGATTTGATTATTTGCTTTTTTGATGTTGAATTTTTGCGAGTTCTTCATATATTCTAGATAGTAGTCCTTTTTTTGGATATGTGATTTGCAAATATTTCCTCCATCTGTATCCTGTTTTTAAATCCACTTAACAAGATCTTTTATAGTGCAAAAAGTTTTAATTTTGATAGTCCAGATTGTCAATTTTCTTTTTATGCATCACGCTTTGGGTGCCAATTTTACAAAATCTAGATTTCCATCTATGTTTTATACAGACAAGTTCTATAACTTTAAGTTCAAATCTCTGATCCTTTTAGTAGAAGTTGTGTGTGTGTGTGTGTGTGTGTGTGTGTGTGTGTGTGTGTGTGTGTGTTTTGTTGGTTTGGTTTATTTGTTTTCCCCCTATGGATGTCCAGTTCTTCTTTATTGAAAAGGCTCATTTTCTTTTTTCCATTTAATTGCTTTTGCAACTTTGTTAAAAATCAATTGAAACAGCCAAGCACAGTGGCACAAATCTGTAACTCAGTCACTCAGTAGGCTGAGACAGGAGGATCCCAAGTTCAAGGCCAAGCTAAGCAACTTAGCAAGATTGTGTCTCAAAATAAAATATAAAAAAAGAGCTAGGGATGTAACTTACTAGTTGTACCCTTGATTCAAAGAACCAGTTGAACCTATTTCTAAGTTCTCTGTTCTGTTCCAACAAAGTCTCTATTTATCTGTTAAAAGCACACAGTCTTGATTACTGAAGCCATAACATAACTCTTAAAATTAGGAATCACTGTCTCTTCCCATTTTATTAATTTTCAGAATTGTTTTAGCTACTCTAGTTCCTTTGCCTTTTCTCACAAATTTATCCACCTATATAGAACAATGTTGGCAAAACTTTTAGAGATTGTGTTCCCAAACTGCAACCCAAAACCCGCTTATTTGTCACAAAGTGCCAACACTGCAATTAAACCTGCATACTGAGGGTTTAGTTTAGAAAAAAGCAACTGATACATTAAAAGAAAAACACAATAACAGAACTTTAAATGATACAAACAGCTCACTGCAGCATGCATGCCATAGGTTCGCCATAGGTATAGAGTATCTTTCTGGGATTTTTGTTTTTTTGTATCTGGGATCGAACTTGGGTCCTTGCGTTTGCAAGGCAGGTGCTGGAACTACTGAACTAAATCCCCAGCCCTGTGGGATTCTGATAGAAAGTGCAAACCGGTGTACTAGTTTGGAAAGACCTTATCTTTTACTATGTTGAGTCTTCTAATTCAAGAACACACCAAGCCAGGCGTGGTGGCGCATGCCTGTAATCCCAGAACTTGGCAGGCTGAGGTAGGAGGATCACTGTGAGTGTGAGTTCGAGACCAGCCTGGGCTACATAGTGAGTTCCAGGTCAATCTCAACTACATAGTGAGGTCCTGACTCAAAATACAAAAAAACAAAACAAAACAAAACAAAAAATACAACACCAAGTCTCTTCATTTATTTATATCTTCTTTAACTTCTTTCATCATCGGTATTATGGAATTTTGACATACAAGTCCTATTTGTACTTTGCTAGATATACACCTAAGCTTTTTTTGGTTTTGCAGTCCTGGGGATGGAATTCAGGGCCTTGTGTATGCTTAGGCAAGAGGTCTACTGCTGAACTACATCCTTGGCCCTTAAAAAATTTTTAAGACTACTAGGCCAGGATGGCCTCGAACTTCAAATGATCCTCTGCCTCAGCTTCCTAAGTAGCTGGGACAACTGGCATGCACTACTGAGCCTAGCTTTTGACTTCAAATAGTGAAACAGCTTTACATCCCTGAAATAAATATCACTAGGTCATGATGTATATTGTTTTTTGAGACAGGGTCACACTATGTGGTTGAGACTGACCTGGAACTCATTATGAAGCCCAGGCTGGTCTCAAACTCACAGTGATCCTCCTGCCTCAGCCTCCCGAGTGCTGGGATTAGAGGCATGCACCACCACACCTGGCAACTCCTTTTTTTTAAAAAACAGAATTTTATTGACTTCTGCTCTTATTTCCTTCCAGCTGCTTGTTTTGGAAGCAACTACTGTTTTTTGCTCTTCTTTTTCTTGATCCTAAAGATGGGAGCTTACAGATTTCAGCATTTAGTGCAGTACATTTCCTTCTCAAGGTGGGCAGGCACGCTTGTAATTTTTGCATTCTGATAAGCTGAAGCAGAAAGATAGCAAATTGCAGACAACCTGGGTAACTT